GACTTAGATATAAGAAATGTGTGAGTGCGGTAGAGAAGGAAGCCCTATAAGGTATTTTCTCCCTCCTTACCCACTTTCGTTCGTAGTATCACTGTGTATGATGTCCGACTGGAAAATTCGACAGTTCGGTGTCTGCAGCCCGGCGAATTCAAATGAAAACGGAATCAGTGTTGCCAAATAGAAACCACATCTTTAGGCTAGATTTCGCTACATAGAATGCTAGAAAAATGCTAAAATCTGCTAGGAAAGCCAAACGAACGTACCCGCTCTTAATTTTAACACATTTTTCGTATTTTAGTATTATCCTTTCTACGAAAGTTTTGATGGTGAGGGTTAAAATAACATCTATGCTTCATTTTGTTATCAAAAATATTAAGAAAATGATATTGCGATTGTAATGACTGGAAGGTAACGCTTCAAAACAGTCTAGACCTGTCTAGGTGCTCTCTGAGATGGAGCTGGTGCATTCCGCCATTTTTAAGGTTACAGTGCACGCTAGGGAAGTAAGGATGCAAATCCCCAAGGCAGACAAATTGAGCGAAAGATTGAAAATCATTCCCTTTGTCTCTTCAGTAATGGACAGGATACCTACTTCCACGAGTCAACATAGACATTTCACGCTTTTGATCTTGCCATCTGTTAACCATCTGTTTCTCCTTTTAGTACATTTAATGTTGGAAATTTTCTTTAGAACAGCAATTATTTTCCCAATTTTGTATCTCTCGCGCGAGAAGGAGCAAATAATATGTCAAGAACCCCTTGTTTTATACTTGATAGGACATATTGGGAACTCTTCTCATCTCTTCCATTAGGAATCATAAAAGATTTGCCTATCGACGATGCAATAAAAACCGTTAGTGGTACTGTATTTCAGGCAGCTAAATATTCAATTCTTGTGACATCAACAAATCTCCCAACATATTCAAAACCGTAGTGGAATTGTGAATGCCAAGAAAATCTTAGAAAACACACAAAAACTTGGAGAATTTTCCATAGGTACTCCACTAAAACAAATCTTTAAAAATAACAAAGCAACTACAAGAAAATTAAGACTTCAGAGATAGAGAGTTTCATGGATATGATATGTGTCCTCTATAACGTCCTTTTCACGAAGTAAAAGAGTTAAAACAGAATGTAGGATATATAAAGACCACTCACCTCTTTTTCTGGAGAAGACGGCCAAATTATTAATAACACAGAAGAAATTGCGAATACTATTGTTGAGACCCATGGTGCTGTTTTTAAAGGCAGTTTAACTACTATTTTTAATTACTCGGCGGCATTTCTTTCTGCGAAGTGGAACTATGAAAAATTTCCCTTTGGCTTCACGTCTCCCAACTTGGAGTTATATAATGGCGATTTTACAATTCTTGAACTAAAGAGAGTCTTATTACTGACACATAGGTATAGTCGATGGTAAAGCACTCCTGTAAGTCATTGACTGCCCCTCTATCAATTCACAATCGACTGTGGTAGGAGCACATTTTCCCACTGCATGCAAGAAATCTGTTATCATTCTACTGGCTAAGTGAAGAAAAGACCAGAAGAATCAATCCCTCCAACTATCTGCATATCGCATTTACCAGTTGGATGAGAACTATTTATAAAAAATGGTAAACTGCCGTCAAATTACCACTTTGGAGAAAAAAAAAAAAAAAAAAGAAAAAAAAATCTAATCTCGACATATCAAAGTGGGTTACGCAAAGGAAGAACGACCATCCATGATATACACCTTTCGGAAACGCCACTCGAAAATTTTTATCAAAAAGAACCATCTAGTATCTGTGCGTGTTTACAGAAAAAAGGCATGGAAGTCTGGCATTCCGCGTGATCTTCATGCCAATGGCGTGGGAGGCAACCTGTCTATTTTCGTTCAAATTTTTGAAGGCAAGGACTTTTCAAGTCAGGATTGGATCTATTTTATCAGATGTTTTTGTACAAGAACATATGATCAAGGCTGTGTTCTGAGTGTTATCTTATTCATTTCTAAATGAGCTTCCTCTTGCCATTTCAGGTTCATTATATGCTGATGACCTGCAAATAAGTTATTATAATACAGATATGAGCAATGTGAAGATGAAACTGCAGATTGCGCCTAACAGGATCCAGAAATGGACAAATAAACATGGATATCTATTTTCAAAACAGTAAACTGTCTGTATCTATTTGCAGAAAACATACTCTTCATCCTGAGCCGCAGCCTTTACCTTTATGAATCTTTGATTTCTGTTGCAACCAAAGTGAAATTCTTAGGTGTGATGTTCGGTCAAAAACTGATCTTACTTCAGCATATTCAGCACCTTGGGAACAAATGTTTAAAAACAATGAAACTTCTAAAAGTCCTAGCGAACATCGCTTGGGGTGCGGATGAATGCTCTTTGCGGATGGTTGCCCACTTATCCGTTCAAAATTGAATTATGGCTCAGTGGTATATGGTTTCGTATGATATTCTATCTTATTGAAACTTGATTCTGCTTATCACCAGGCGCTGAAGTTCTATTCTAAAGCATTTAGAACGTCTCTAGTCTAGATTTTGTATGTTTATTGCTTCGAATCCGTCACGTTGAGGCTTCAGCAACTGTCTCTTCATTATTATATTTTCCCAGCCTGATCTTCCGTCTTAACTGCTTTTACGATGTCATGCATGTCTGCTTGAAGCACGACCATCTTGTATGCCTTCTTTCTAGTTAATGGTTCTTCCACTCATTGAAGAACACGCCATGACTGATGTGTATAGTCAAGCAGTAAAACATTTTGAAATTCCACCATGGGAACAAGCACAAATCCAACTTACTGTTGCTTTTCTCCATCTTTACAAGAGAAATACTTGTAGGATGGATCTGTCTTTTTTGCTAACATACACTCTAACTAAATCTACTTGAAACTGCGTGTTGCGATTTTTCGCAAGACTCGAAGATGAATACAAAGGGAAAGTCAGTGAAAAGTCAGTGAGACAATGCCGACTCCTCAGGGGAAATTAGCTTATCTTGCTCTCTCACCAACTGCTCAGACATGGGTTTTCTAATTTTGGTACATTGTTCACTAAGATGTACAAAAAATTTTAAGATTTAAGATATTTTTTTTAAGATTACATTGCATGGCACCGACGAATTGCATGGCACCGACGAAACACGATACCTGAGTAATTGACGAGAGAATAAGATAAGCTAACCCCCCCCTGCTGAGTTGGCATTACGTCATTGACATTCCAATTGTTCATTTTTTATAAGTTTTTCTAAAATTTTCATTTAATTTAAATTTTCATTGGATCTGCATTTCAGTTGCATTTGATTTACTACTACTATTAGCTGTTGCTTGACAGACAATTTTCCTTTACTTATTTACTTCCGTTTTCTCCTTTTTTCTTTTAAAAAAATTACAGTTGCTTTTGAAAATTTTTTGAAATTTTTCTTTTTTAAATATTTTTTCATTTATTTTTGTACTTTTTGGCATTGGTATATAAATTGCACCGTTGATTGGAACTGTTGTTAATTTCAACTGAAATTCCTAGTTTTTGGCTTAATTTGAATTTTTAGTAGTAGTTATTTTCATTTCATTAATTTGATTATGGATATGTATATGTGTGTGTGTGTGTGATAAAAAAGAGAAAAAGGTGTAGCAATTCTGTTTGACGTAGAACGTAGTTCCATACTGAAGAGGGAGAATTCTGATTGCATAGTATGCTAATATCTTGAGTTCGTAATATCTAAACTTGGCAGTCGAGGCGGATTAAATTCCATTTTTATTTAAATTGTTGTGGCCATAATTCATTTGACACTCTAATCGTGCCTACTTCCAGAACATTTACAATTTTTAATACTGTTAAAATAAGAAAAGAGCACAGCGAAATAGCATCCAAGCGGTAACACAGGTAGAAGCTAAATGCACATTTATTCAACATGGAAGATAGATAAGAGGAAGTGTTTGATTTAAGTTAGAAAAGTTTCAGTTCTCAAAATCTTGAGTTTTAAGTTCCCACTTAGCTATGTCATCAGCATAAGGCAATCCATGTATCATAGATTTATCTAGAAATGACGCAGTCTAGGAAAGTTAATCCGCCTCGACTGCATATATGTATATATATACTGTTAATTGTATTGTATTAGTGCATTTTTTGGTAAAATTTCTTGCATTTCCAAAAATTGTATTAATTATACTTCTGTATTTCCTGTAACTTGAGCAATGTTAGTTTTTACATTTTAAACGATTACCAGTAGCTATAAACAATTTAGCATTTGTATTAATGTGATGTTTGCAATGTAGTAAATTGTATTTCTCGTGTATTTTTATATTATTAACTGCATCGTGTTAGCAGTATTGTATTCTTTTAATTATATAAACAATGCTGTAGTCTTCAAATTAATTTAATTTATATAATCTTGTATTGCAGATACCAATTCATTAATATATTCTTATTTTGAAAATTTTGTTTCGCAGGTTTCTTAGTAGTATTAATTGTAATTTATTGAATGTTAATTATATTAGTCTTATTTTACTATTAGTTTTGCTAATTCACTTGTTCAAGACATACTACATACTTCTAAAAGCAGATTTACTCTTGCATGGTTTTTATTCGTATAAGTATATCCGTTTTTTGTAACTTCAGTTAATCTACTCCCATACTGCATAATTTAGCGTGTTAGTGAATTTACGTAGTGCAAATTATCTCATTCATTCATTTAATATATTTTAAACTTTATAATTAATTATTAATATGCATTACATATATAATTATTTATTAATTATTAATATGCACTGCATTATTAGTTTTTTTTCTCTTAATGTGTACTCATTGTGTATTCTTTTAATGCAAATTAGTTAGTGTAATCTTGTGTTAGTTAATGTTTCTAAATTTAGTGGCTCTAGATCTCTATCGTTTTTCTTCAGAATGGGAGGAAAAAACATGCATTTATACAATTTCTATCTTTTAAAAGTAGTGATATATTGTGTTTAGAGTACGAGAAGAATATAAAAATTGCAACTGCGAAATTTATTTTCAGGAATGTACAGAGCAACATCGCCTTCTCTGCAGGTTGCATTATCCTCGTCTGAAATTAGCGATTTCATTGATCAGCTCATGGAAATTCTCCAAACTGTATTTTCCAGAGAACGTAGAGAAGATTTATTTAATGTTTTTGAAGGCGAATTTAGATTGTTCATCGCTGATGAGTGAGTATCCAAAACATTAATGTCATCTATAGAGCCTTAAAGATTGAATTGATTCCGACGCAGATTTCAAAATTGTGGCCTTTATTTTTTTTCCTTTCTTTCTTTTTCTCTCCCCTCCCCCCAACATTTAAACGACACTATTGCCAGCTTGCCTTGCCGTTATCAAGCATGCATTTCATGCTAGAGGGTATCATACCCTTTTTAGCGTGACATGCTTCCATTGCATATTCTTCCGACCAATTTCGTCTTTTGCGATGCGATGGTTTGTAATAAAATGTGTTTTTGGATGTCTTTGCTTTATTTCTTGCGATGCGGTCTAATAATGCCACACCAACCTCTTTGATCAATTTCATTGCACATCTATAAAATAATTTTTGTTCTGCTCCGTGTTTTGACTTTGTTGCTTATTTTTTAGCAGGGGTGTATTTGCTTATGTTACCAATATCTTATGTAGCTTGTGAAAATTCATTTTCAAAATTAAAACATGTGAAAAATCGATTACACAGTACTCTCGCGCAATGAAGTTTAGAAGCAATATCAATGAAACGTGAAACTATGTGATTTATTAAACTAAACAAAAATGATGATGTAGTCAATGATTTAACCAGGTCAAATAAATGTTTTTCTGAAAATAAAGTTACCTTTCTTATTGATTTTTTAATAAGCTTTTTGCAAAATTTTATAAATATTTAAATAGTTTGAATACATTTGATTTTTTTATTATTTTTTATCGTATGTTTTATTCATGCTTTATTGCACAATATATTTTTCAAATTCAGTAGGCGTTTAAGATACGCATATGTATTAATAGATAACTTTTTCTAAATTCAAATTAAAAATTTAAATATTCTGTTTGTGTCACTGGAAAATCACATGTATCGCATTAACATCTAGTGCCATCTTTGAAAAAAATATTTTGTGTAGTTGATATTTAATGTGCAAAGGCTAAGTTTTGATTTTTTCAACTGCTTCTAATGAAATAATTAGAATATTTTGTAATCGCATTTTTCATTGCGATTGAAAGTTAATTAATATCGTTTATATTTTAATCAATTTTTTATTATTTAAAGTAATTTACTATTTTATAATTTCCTTTCAGTTAGGACAACTGATTAATTAATTTACAGCCTATAAATGTATTTTTAATTATAAATATTTTCGGGTTTTTAAATGACGATGAATTAGTTTCCTGCGCCGGTCAGAATAATTTTATGCGCTCCTGGCACACGCATATATATTTAAGGTATCCGATCTCGTACAAAAGACGATTTTCGGACAAAATTTCGATTTTTACTTTATTACATTATCTTAAAGAATACATCTTTAGCTATCAAATACAAGTTTTTGCTTGTTATATGTTAATTAGAACTGAAGTTATAAGCATTTTTCTGTAACGGAATAAACCGGAAGTTCCAATATTCTGGATCGGAAGTGAGCGTTTAAATAGACATAATTATTTAGAAACTTTATTTATCATCAAGATTTTGTAAATTATGAACCATCGTACTAAGTTTAGATATTTTGTAATACATTTTAAGAATCTGGCGGTAGTTTTTTCCCTTAATTTCGTATTTAGGTTTGGCGCAGAGGGTATTCGACATTGAATGGATGTGTTACTGCTTTGTCGATTAGCGTTGCCAGTCTTGATTTGAAGGCTTTGTCACATTTTTGCATCATTTGCAACAAACTAAACAAAATGGAATGCAATCTTCAGCACGAAATATAGTTCATAATATATATAGCGTAACATAATTATTCTGCAAATTATAAAGAAGCAGCTTCGGCTATGGAAGCAATTGGTGTTTATTCGCTTTTTGAATGATCTATTAAATTACGAAAGCTGAAGTACACGGAGTATTATGAGGATGGAGATTCTAAGGGGTTTTTAATTGTGAAAAATATAGATGGTAAAGATTCGGTCAAGAAACTGGAATGCATTGGACATGTACAGAAAAGAGTTAGTAGTGCACTACGAAAAATAAAAAACTCCACTCCTGGATTGAAAGGGAAAGGTAAACTGATTGGTTCTTTTATTGATAAACTACAGAATTAGGGATTGCAATTAGAAGTAATGTTGGAAACTTCATTGAGATGCAGCAGGCTGTACTAGCTGCTTGTTCCATTGTAGCTCTTCTTCGAAGCCAATGCCCTCCTCAATCAACAAGTTGGTGCAACTATCAATGTGCGATTGCAAAAAAGAAAAAAAAAATCAGCCAAAAACCTCTGGTATATCAACATATATTTTGAATTTAATTAAACCTACATATATGGAGTTGACTACATAAACCAGAGTTATTAAAAAAGTGCATACATGGCAAAACTCAAAATATCAAAGAACGTTTTAATGGCATTTTATTGCAAATTGTTCCTCGCGAACATTAATGTTTGGAGCAATCATTAAATAACATTAAATAACAAGTGTTGTTATTTAATGTTATTTAATGATGGATTTATAGGTTTGCTTGAAGCATTTTCAAGGTTAGCTGTGTGTTCTGAATTTTACACTGAGCAGGGAATTCTAAAACTTGATAAAGTGCAAAATCATGACTCTTGGCGCCATTCCGCAAGTTTTACAAAAGCCCAAAGAAAAAAATTACGCTTTGTTCGAAAGAAAAAGCGCAATGTTTCTGAAAATACAAACAAGGTGTCAATTAAAAAGAAGGGGATTTTAATTATCAGGGATGCATTTTTCACTAAGAAATTGTTTTCTGAAAACTTTAAACTTGTTTTCTAAAAAATGTGTTTTTCAGCAAATATTGCCAATGGTAACAGCCATAACCCACAATTTTATGAATAAAACTAAATGATACTTTCTATGCATGTTTCATATAATCTGATGCATGCTCTGAAGCAGAAGATTTTAGGAATATTAATTAGAAGTTGAATTGTTACTTTTTATTCTTAGATTTTGGATGCAATAATAGGAAAATATGCAGTTAATACTATATATTTTGACATATCTCAAGAACATATGAATATTTCTTAATTATTTTGCTTCATTGCATACAAAATAAGTGTAAACATAAATACAAATTAAAAAAACTGTATATTTATGTATGCATTGTTCACCGTGGTTGTTGCCGTAATGACAAAATTTAAGCAAAAATTATCCTTTTTTTTCATTATTTTTCAAAATTAAAATTACTTAGCATTAATTTTTAAGCTGTTTTCACTCATTAGTATGCTTATCTTCAAATTAATACTTTTATAGTTAAAATAAAAACCATTTCTTAAAAAATGGTACCCGAACGAGGTCGGATACCTTAAGATCATTTTATGAAATATAACTCTTGGTGGTGAATGAAAAAAAGCAAAGTGTTGGACAAACGTACCCTTCGGACTAATGACGTCGGGCAGCTGAGTTATCGGGCAGGCTGGTGACAGGCAATTGAATTGCCAAACAGATGTACTGCTCGGACAACTGAGTTGCCGGATATATGTACCCCTCGGGCGATTGAGTCATGGAGGTAGGAAGTCTTACCTCCATGGACTGAGTTGTAGGGTAATAATTGGGTCTCGGCCAAACGACTTGAAGCGAATTCATCAGCTGTCGATGGTAGAGCATTTAGAAGATACTGTTGCTCTTACCATCCTCGGTTATTCGCAATTCAGGGCTTATTTTGAGCTGTACTGCAGGCGGACATAAAACATTTCTTGTTTTACGAAGTTCATTTGATGAACATTTAAAATTTCTTTATGTAGTTCACATACTGTAGCGTATTTAGATTTCTTGATTATAAAATATTAGCCACAGATAATATAAACATGGTTACAAGTAACATTACTATCCCACACACCGCTGGACAGTTTCAAGTTCAAAAAGCCGATAGGTAGATTCAAACACTTTCAACAGGTATTCAAATTAAAATAACTGACGATTATTAAAGCTATGTTTATAAAAATTAGTGAACAACGAACGGAAATAGATATTAAAAAAATATTAATAATTTTGCTCCATTGAAAACTTTCATAAGCTTTAAAAATGCATCTGAAGTTTTACACAAATTTCACTGTTTTATTATAATTCGCTATTTTGAATTAAGACTAAAACCGAGTGAAAAATTTTCACTTTTAACACATTTTGCAGGCAACAGCAGAATAATTAGTCGCATAGCTTTAGACGCAAAATGTTTTTCGTCAGTTGGTAAACCTCATAGTACCTCTTGCAATACTGTTTCTATTTCCGTGTCCAATGGTCTTTTTCCTCAAAAAACCAAATGGCATATAATAAGGCCTCTCTATTTATATTTATTTATGTCACTACACATTTGGTTTGATCTTAATTGTTAATGAATTATAAATATAGAACTGTAATTATGGTTTTAGGTTTTTAACGTTGTTTATTTTTAATTCTTGTATAACTACATTTATGGTAGTTAATTTTCGGAAACAGTTATAATTATTTTTCAGACTATAGTCTTTATATGTGTAAGGTTTCTTAAAAAGCACAGGGGCGTTATTCTTGATTTTTGAAAGCATTATTAATCAAAATAGAAAAAAGTGACTTTTAGATATCAGGATGACACAAACGCTTTTTGTAGGACTCCTTGATAATAGCTGATGAAATAATTTCAAATAAACGCCCCCTGACGAGTTTTATTAGAATTTGTTTCATTAGCTACATCATTAACTGTTTAATGTTTTGTGCGGTTACACCCTTTTATCTCACAACTAAATGTGGAGGAACATAGTGAACAGCTAAGCGAATAATCGCTTTAGTTCAGGAACACTGACGTAAAGTCGAGAAGGGTTAATTACTCCTTATTGCTCAAAATAAGAGTTTAACAGATGGCCCCCTATCTCAGGGCGTACAGCAAAGCCTCCACTTGGGTTTGAACTCAAAATACTAAGAAATAAGACTTAATTAATGCTTAACTAAAGAGATATAGTCGAAGCTATCGAAATTTTAAGTAGTTGGCCCCTAAATATCGAATAAGCTAGCGAAGCTATCAAGGACTTGTAATACGGCCGAGCGTTGTAACAGCTTAGAGAGTCGTAGTCAAAAGCCAAACGCACGTTAGTCAGAAACTCTGAGGCTCTCTCTCGAAGTCAGTGGAACTTCGACTTAAATACTACTCATCTGCATTTAACGCGATTCTAAAAACATATTCTGGTAGGAAATTCTAAGCTGAAATTAGGAAGGATAGGAAAGTAGTTTTAACTAAAGATAACTGTTAAAAACTTAGTATAAACCTTACAGTTTTATTTTAGCCAACATCTTTAAGCAGCTTTATTTTTCCTTACAATAATGTTATATATTCAATTCAGTGCATACTTTATTATTTCTCTTTTATTACGATAAATACTGGAAAGCATTATTTTTTTTGGTTAGTTGCAATATTATATATATAAATTTATATATTCATTCATACATATGCATATGTTTGTATTTCTAGATTACATATGGCAGAAGACTGGGGCGATGTATTTCTAATTATGAATGAATGCGTGCAGGTGATAGACAGTCTGAATCCGAACGTACAATAACAGGTAAGAATAGATCAATTAGGCAGTTTGTAATACAGTAATCCAACGATTTGGTTTAAGTGTCAATACTTGATTTTAATATACATTCCAATTCAAACAGATCTCTGGTAGATGTATAGCTCCAAAAATAAGTTCAGTCTTGTTTCCTGCTACTTAATCTATTAATCCTAGCTGCATTTGTTTAGACTTGCTAATGTTAAATAGAAAATTAGTAGGTATCGTTTTAAATTTAAAATAATTAAATTTTATTAAATAAATGTAATGATCATAAGATAGCACAAAAGGAAAGAAAAATCTCTTGCGTTGTGTTCGTACATCCAAGTTAATCAAAATAAGTAAAACCTATTAACCTATCCTTAAATTTATCTTGATTGTATAGTGCTTAGTAGTACTTCTAACTTGATAATCCAGTTGCGAGGCCCCTGAGTTATTGCATATTAATTTAATAATTTAATAGAAGTAGATTAAACCATCTTAGGAAAATTCTAAAATTGCATTAAAAGAAACTCATTAAATTTTAAAAACATGAAGCTAAAGTTTTATATGTATAGGCTTACACATATTGGAATTTTTTTGTACTCCATTTTTTACTGCTGAAGCATTTAATTTTCAGCTAGTTCAAGCTCTCATATATAAGTGAGTTAGCATAAATCAAATAGACGAAATTACAGAAGTTAAAGTAAAAAAATGTTAGCTACCGCTTGATTTTTGCAGAACGTGTTGGATTTATATCCCAGAATAAAACTTGTTAAATACATTATAGATACATTTAAGTATGTAGGTACCCAAATTTATTATATAATACTCTACATTTAGGACAGAACTAACCTGAAAGTAAAAAAAGAGTAAGCACAGTGATACATCTTATATTGATACATGTATATACATGATATGTTCAATGGCAAAATATATATGTAATGAAAAGAGAATATCTTTCATCAATATTTTTAATATATTTTGTAATTTTTTTAACACTTAATGGTTTAAAAAGGTTTTAAATCACAAATGTCTTCATATTTAGTACATTAAAATATGACGTTTCCAGGTTTAAATAAGTAATATTTTTATCTTTATAAACTCCACTTATATAAATTTTTTTCTTCTAAATCCCCAAAGGAAATCATGTGAATTAAATTCAGTCTGCTAGTGCAGTTCTGGAGATATGCAAAAACATAGTTTTACAGCACATCACATTACAGCACATTTCTTATTTCATAGTAAAATTATACTTTAGAAGATGAGAATATTTTATATAAAATATAATTTATTTTGAAGAGCAAATATTTATGGATATAAAATGAGCAATACAATAAAAATACAGCTTATGTACATTTTGCAATTCTGTATATTAATGACTGAATGAAAATTATGCAACAACAAACAAATTTTCTGTATACAATAATAGGTTTATGATATTGTAGACCTTCATTATTTTTTACGTAAAAACTTGATATTGCTTTAAATCATATTATTTACATAATATAATGTTTACATCAATTTTACCAATACTAGGATTTAAATGACCACCACCATGCATTTTGCCATTTATAAAACCTCATTTAATGGTCTCGTCTATGTACATTTTTCCCTGTTTCATTTACACCCATTCATACGATTTGTCTTATTTTAGGCTGATATTGCTTCCACTATAAACAGAAGTGTTTCTCATTGACTTATTTGCAATCGTATATTATAAAATTATCAAGACCATGTAATCATAAACCAAGATCGTATTATTTTCATTAATCAACTGATGAATTATTAAACGTATTTTGCCCTGATGAAGTTATATTTTGTTCTTGTTTACGAGTTGATGAGTTAGATACAGTTTGTTTAGTACTCTGTTCAGTACCCTGAAATTGTGAGCTCAGTTATTTTTTATAAACAAATAAGGACAGAACTAAAAAATTGAAATGCAGGAAATGTAGCAACCAAGGCCAGTTTTACAATTTTGTTAACTTGGGAACTTTCCAAAATTTGTATAAACGTGTAAACATATCTGTGTTTTTTTTTTTTTTTTTTTTTTCAGTTAGATTTGATTCATCCCTTGACTCCTACTGCTTACTAAAACTGCATTTAACGTAAGAAAAATCAGATGTCAGCTAAATGTTGATAAGTTAGAGTAACAGAAATCTGATAGTTATTTTCATTCCTTTTTTGATATATATGTTATGGACAAAGCCCGAAGTCGGCCAGTTCCCGAATTGGCCGGCTGAATCGCGAAACAGCCACTATCGCCTCACAATGACCGGCCAAACTCCTATCTTTTTTTGATTTCGGAGTTTGGCCAGACAGTTCGCGAAATGGCATGGGGCGATCGGCCAAAGTCAGAAGAAAAGGTCATGAGCAAATTTTGGGTGTTTGTATACCGTAATGATAATGATAATCACATTATTACTGCCACAGAGGAATTTTACGACGAATCCACCCCTCTTAGGCGCCTAGGATCGTCCTTCGGAACAAAGGCCAAGGAGGTACGGTGGCCTAAATGCTTTAAATATCAAAGGTTTAGAAACTAGACCTTTCTTAAGATTAGATAATTTGGTCTGACACGGTTTGCATAAGCGGAGATACAATGTAATGATTTCCTTGGTGACATTTTTGTACTTAGTTTGCAGCTCCTTCTCCATCCGTGTGCGACCTCCATGTCCAATTTTCAAGTGAGTATCATGTAGCAAGTCGAATAACTCTTCTGTGTGCACGTAGTACAAAATAACGCTATTGTCTTCTGTTACTGGCACAATAAGTTTTTCTTTTCCGTCAACCTCAATAACATCATATTTTTCTTAGTCGACGATAGTCAACACTTTCTTTTTTCTGCTTTGCTTTAGCCTTTCTAACGTCCTCTATGAAAGTACACTACTTGTCTCTGCTGAGGATCCAGCTATTATCTGCTTTTCCTTGCAGCAATACAGGATCCAGCTATTATCTGATTTTTCTTGCAGCAATATATTCAATTTACTTATGAACACAATTCTCATATCCAAAGTTGGTTCCGTATTTGCATGTGCGTCATCTTCGCCCAGCATACTAGTTTCGTCAGAAGTCGTCATGGGAAAAAAAACAGAAAAACAATACGATACTCTCAAATCACGCGGCAATCCCTTTCGTGGTTTAGCAGTTAATGTACATGTAAATAAGTTTTAGGTACTAAAGAATGTAACATAAATAAGAAGCACCTATTCAATCAACACTTTAAGTACCAAAACTTTTTTCAGATATAAAAAAAAGGTTTTCCTTATATATTGCTTGAAAATAGCTCATTAAACAGTATTATATTTTAGGGTGACCGGAAAAATGCCCACAGGAAAAAAGCCGACAGGAAAAACTGCTCACAGAATAATGCTCACAGGTATAAAAGCTCACAGGAAAAAAGCCCACATAGAAAAAAGCTCACATGGAAAAATGCTCACATGGAAAAATGCTCACTTAGAAATATGGTCACACGGAAAAAAGCTCACATGAAATATGTTCACATGGACAAATGCTCACATTAACCTTTTCAGGCGCGATAAATAAAAGCATGAAAAGCATGTACTGTAATATTTTATACCACTGCCCATGTACATTTTTTTTCTGTAACTGCTAATAATTAATTTTTGTTTCTTTACTCTATTTTTGCATACTTTTGATGTGTATCTATAGAAATTGATGTTTGAAGGTAGTTATTCAAGTTTTGAGCCAAAAAAGTTGTAAAATTTCTGCAGAAATTAAAAATTTTAGAAATAAAATTAACATTTTTAGGCACTTTGATGATGCCTCTCAGTTGAACATCATAAAGCAGCCTTCGAAAAATCTCCTAAAACCACAAATTGTTGCGAAGGCTCTCATAACGCACTAAATTCATTATTTAATTGTAGCCATCCCAGTATGTCGTTTTTATTTGACGGACTGAAAAAAGATTTAGCCTCTCAACGTTTGTTATTAGCTAATGTAAATACAGGATGTACTGAAGTAAAAAAAAAAGAAAACATGAAAAACTTACATTTGGTAATCGTGAATCATGTAAGAAACTGTGATGAAATCTATGATGAAATTAAATATTTTAAGTAATTCAAATAAAATAATCATTCTAAATTCTCATTCATTATTCATTATTCTTCTAAATGATTATATTAAAAAATGTGTAACTTATGTTTACTATTTTTTATTTTTTTTAACAATTAAAATTATAATAATTTTGTACTGATAATTCTGTTTCATGTTTACTTCCTTTCCCCTCTCCTTTTAATTCAAAACGGCCCATTTGTTAATCTTATGTAGCAACTGAATCTACCCATAGGTTATAATGTTTTTGAAATATATACCATAGATGTTTTGGTAATTTAAATAATTTTTCTTTAGAAAATTCAAGTAGGTGTATGATGTTCAAATCGATTAATTATTGATTCATTAATGTAGGGATATTTCTATGTCAATTATTTATCAGTGGGCTTATTTCCATGTGAGCATACCTCTGTGTGAGCTTTTTTCCGTGTGAGCATATTTCTAAGTGAGCATTTTTCCATGTGAGCTTTTTTCTATGTGGGCATATTTCTGTGTGGGCTTTTTTTCCTGTCAGCGTTATTCCTGTGGGCTTTTTTTCTGTGGACTTTTTTCCTAGAACCATATTTTAGATTACATTTAAGAAAAAAAAAATTAATAGATTTATAGGATGTTCCCAAATGGGAACAATGGTCCTTCCCATGAATATTTGAGGCATATGTTTAAAGATAGAGAAATTATTTTTTCAGCACAAAATATTTAGTTAGTTATTAATTACTTTAGAAAATACACATTTTGGATTTAGATATCTATTCTTTTTCACAGAAAATTTTCCTGAACAATTAAATTTTACTTGTTAAGTAAAAAAATATTACACGGCATAACATATCTATTATAGCGGAAAATATTTTTTTGCATATTTTGTGAATAAACAAAGTAAGATCAGCACTCCAGTTTTATTTCAAAAAATCATTTGATGCGTTAAAATATTGATTAAGTTCAATTAATAAATTTAAAAT